CCGAATGGACCACCTAAGACGCAGCCGCGGTCAACATTTAAATGAAATTATCTTCAAAAAGTAAATGTCATGAACCAATCTAACGTTTCAAATAAAGAACCGATGAGATTTTGCAAATTTTATGCGTTTTTTTTTTTAAAAAAGTTATCAAGCTCTTAAAAAATCACCCGATCATTGGTTTAACTGTAATGTGCATACTTAGCCTTAAATTTTTGTAAATAAGTGGTTTAGTTGTAATTGTAAATAAAAAAAGTATTTTTTGCATACTTCACTATTTGTATGGACGAAAATAAATATATAAGCCTTTCTGTAAAGCTTACTAGTTGAGAACTAGTGCAGTAGTAAGCCCTTTGGGTACAGTTTGTATCGTTAAAATATAGATTTCCACTTGGTATGACAATTTCCTGAAAGAATAGGTCATTCCGTATTATCAATTACATCAATTTCGAACTAATCTAAAATATATGTAATAGCATATCTCTACATTGAAGTGGATTCAATGAATCAGAATCGTATTTTTTACTGCATGGTCGATAGTATTCCACGTCTTTACTTATGGCATTAGTGAGAGCTTAAAAACTTAAAAAATTTAAAGGAAAATGTGTTAGTAGCTTTAAACTGTAAATATATGTAATGTATTTATATATTTAATATAAATTTCGATTAAGCTAAGAAGCTCTATATATACTTACTACTTGCCTAAAATTGTTATAAATATATCACTAATATATATTATATATTTAAATTATTGAATAAAATATATTTTTTTAAACGAATATTCCTGTTTTTGAAATAAGTAAAATGGTTGTTTCAGTATACTAAAAAGTGTTTGATAGAAGAGCTCAAGGGTAAAACACATTCAGTTTTATACATATCAGCGTTACAGTTAAAGTAACGGTTAGGAAATAAAAATCCTCAGCAGATTTCGGCGTAAGATGCTTTATCGGTAAGTCTTAGTAAGTGTTGGTAAGTTATCTCACTGCAAAGTGTTCTTGATTTCATCAAGAACTATGTTCAGTAGTCTAAGTGTGATGTGAAGAGGACTAGCGATAGACATTAACTAGTGCTCTTTAAATTAGTGGTATCGAATAAAAAAATTTAGAGCTGATCAAGACCTTAATAAAAACGTACTTTTCAGTGTGTCAGTAGTTTATTTTCTGATAGTTAACTTCATGGATGGGTCATATAATGCTGTCTTTGGGGATCAAAAAATTAATGGAATGGATTCCACTGAAGAAGAGAATATATACATACATATTTGGTCAAGACCTTCCGAGAAATATTTTTTAGGTCTTTCAATCAAATTTAGGATTGAACACTCTACAGATTATACTCGTGTTCAAACTCAATGTTAATATTTTTATACTCTCGCAACAAAGTTGCTAAAGAGAGTATTATAGTTTTGTTCACATAACGGTTGTTTGTAAGTCCTAAAACTAAAAGAGTCAGATATAGGGCTATATATACCAAAGTGATCAGGGTGACGAGTAGAGTTGAAATCCGGATGTCTGTTTGTCCGTCCGTCCGTCTGTCCGTCAAGCTGTAACTTGAGTCAAATTGAGATATCATGATGAAACTTGGTACACGGCTCCATAAGAAGGTTAAGTTCGAAGATGGGCAAAATTGGCCCACTGCCACGCCCACAAAATGGAAATTGTTTTGGAAAAGTGGGCGTTGCCCCGCCCCTTACTCAATTTTTTGTACATATCTCGAAAACTACTATAGCTATGTCAACCAAACTGTATAGAGTCGTTTCTTTTAGGCATTACCATATACAGTTCAAAAATGTAAGAAATCGGATAATAACCACGCCCACCTCCCATACGAAGGTTATGTTGAAAATCACTAAAAGTGCGTTAACCGACCAACAAAAAACGTCAGAAACACTAATTTTTACGGAAGAAATGGCAGAGGGAAGCTACACCCAGATTTTTTTTTAAATTGAAAATGGGCGTGGCGTCACCCACTTAGGGACTAAAAACCATATAACAGAAACTACTCGATCGATTTCAATGAAATTCGGTATGTAATAGTTTCTTAACACGCTGGTGACATGTACGAAATATGGATGAAATCGGGTCACAACCACGCCTTCTTCCAATATAACGCTATTTTGAATACCATCTGATGCCTTCTCTGCATAATATATACATTAGGAACCAATGATGATAGCGGAATAAAACTTTACACAAATACGGTATTTGAGCTGAGGTATCCCTTGTGGAAAATTGTCGCGATCGGACTATACCTTTTCAATACAATGAATGAATGAATGAAAATACAATTCAATACTCAAAGTACACAAATTGATCTAATCTAATTAATTTTACAGCAAAATAAAAGAATATGTAATTGACGGATAATGAAATCGCGATTATCACTCCGGTGACACCCGAACTTAGCCCTTCCTTACTTGTTAATTTTATTTTTAATTCAAGAAATCGTCTCAGTGTGAAATTTTAAAAAATACTTAGAATTATGTTTTTCAAAACCGTTTCCACTCTCAAAGGAAGAATTTTGAAGATATATGTATAGTTACAATTTGGAAGAAAAATTTTGAACGTCACTCTCTATCGCGCTACGGAAGTTTGTGTTTTGAAATCTTCCTATTTTTTTGCTACGAAAAGCTTTCGAAAACACGGTTTTTTGTCCAAATCGCCGCCATTTTGTCAAATTAAAAAAAAAAAGATCTTTATAGAGCGATCAAAACTTTCTTATAAATTAATAATCTTTTTAAAAATTTTGTAAAAAAAAACTGGACCGATTAGTTAATTTTAATATTTAAAAAAACGCAAAAATTAATGATTTTTCGAAGAGTAGCACTGACACGATCCTTTAAACATGTGGGATTTCATTAAAGCAATAAAGAGGGAATCATTGGTCCATATGTCTTTTAATTTGTCTACTTTTACAATCAACGAGAAACGCTATAGAGACATGATTAATGACTTTATCATGCCTGAACTAGATAATGTTGATGTGGATGACATTTGGTTCTAAGACGGCGCTACATGACACTATCAATTTGAAGAAAACTTTTGGTGAGAGCATTACCTTGCGCAGTGATCCTGTGTCGTGACTCTCAAGATTCTGCTATATAGTACCGCTGGATTATTTTTTGTGGAATTATGTGAAGTCCCTTGTCTACGCAGATAGCGTAGGTGCTGAATATTCGGATCTTTATTGTTGACACACGGCTCCAATTACTGCAAAAAATGGTCAAAACTTAGCCCCCTCGGCTGAAATTTATTCGAGCCATGAGTTATTTGAGGGCTATGGGATGTATTGAACCGATTCAATAAATTCCTTGTACACAGACATGGTATTATCTGGAAAAATTTATCTCTATATTTTAATTATATATCTCATACATTGACCGTTATTTTTTGTAAACAGTCAACTATAGGCATAGAGGTCGAAATATTCGGTAACTAAGGGCTTGAACTCGTTTTGCTGGATTTGGACATTTTTTGGTCATACTCTAAAAGCATTAATCGTGAAAAGTTTCATATCGTTATATTGTTTCTTGATTTGTACATTCGAAAGAAAAGTATCAGTTGGAACTTACAACTTTGTTACATGATGAGTAGGCGTGGCTGAAGTCCGATTTCGCCCGTTTTCACACTGTAATTTAAAAATGTCAGAAAAATATGATATCAGTAGGGTGGGTCACGGGATATGTGGTTCCATCTAAAAGTGGGTGGTGCCACCCCCCCCCCCCGTCTAATTTTAACCCTGGTTCAACGAAAGCTCTGCTATACCATATCAAGGGTAAAATTCACTCTCTCTCTCTGGAAATTAAATAATTGATTTATTACGCTTTAAGTAGTTTTTAACAGTACCGTTATATGGTGAGTGAGCGGGGTTATATTCTGCTTGCATCCATTTTCACACTGTCCGACAGCGAAATTCTTGTTCTTCTTCTTCCTGTCTAGGCAAATTCGATTGTTGTAGCTTAAGTAGTTTAGGAGATACAAGCAATAAACTTATTAGGGGGGAGGCCACGCCTACTAATTAAAATTTTTTTTTGCCTACAGGTGCTCCTTACTCCTGCAATCCCCTATGCCAAATTAGAGTTTTATATATCATAGGCGTCGCATTTACGATGTTTGGGTCACCGTTTCTGGTTTTCAGAAGGAAATTTTGTTCAGTGATAAAGCTCACTTTTGGTTGAATGGATACATTAATTAACAAAATTATATTTGGAGTGATGATAATTCACAAGACATTGTTGAGTCGTCGCTTTATCCTTCAAAAGTCACTGTTTGGTGTGTGCTTTGGTCAGAGGAAATATTTGAAAATTTGGACTACTTTATTATACCATATGGTATAATACCTAAA